GGATAAAAATCAGGGAATACTATCTTCAAAAAAATCAAAAGGATAGGACTTTTCAACGAAATCAGACGAAGAGATGTAAAAGGGGAAATGCTCGAACCTGAAACAATGTTGAGGAATCCAAATGAAGAGAAACTAGGGGAGGTCACAGATCCTGCAGAACCTCAGTGACTTCCCGTCTATCCTATGATTTGGCTTCAGGTTTGAGAAGAAATTATTATAGCGTTTCATCCAGTGTTTCATCCTGCCAATTTTATTTAATTATGGCTTATATTTGTGTGACATGGTCACACAAACCGCCTGGAAGATATGAGGGTTTACGTCGTATCGGACGACAACCTCGGAACCTAGAACGAGTTAGGGCTTAAATCGTACAGCAAAGCTATACGAATGTCTAAAAAAAATGTGGAGGATTTATGTTGCGCTAGGCAAACAACCTTGAAATCTTATGGATTGTTGTTTAATTTCTAGGAAAAAGAATGGTTTTGCTGGGAATGCATGTTCTGCTGTTGAAGATGGCCGTGCTGCCCACCGCGCTAACTCCAAGCTCCCTGACGTGACGAGTTTAAGTTTTCTAGGGTGTCGAGTTATAGTGTCAAATCAAACGGCCCTATGGTTGTAGTCCTCTAAACATCCTATATGAAAAGTAAACATGCTTAAAGCTATATAATATAAAATGTGTAATGCAGGAACAGACAGGAGAATGCATGTGGAACAATAACAAGCAGAAACAGGAACAGTATAACGTGCTATACAGGAAGAACAGCAGCAAGTAGAAACCCGAATAATATAACATGTTGTACGGTACGGTAGCAGGTAGGAACATAAATGGTATAACATGTTGTATAGAAAGAGCAGTAGCAGGTAGAATACAGGAATAATATGACATGCTCTACAGTACAGTGGCAGGTAAAAACAGAAAAATAAAGTACTGAAAAATGTAAAGCAAAAATAATATGATATGCTCTACAGTACAGTAGCAGGTAAAAACAGGAAAATAAAGTACTGAAAAATGTAAAGCAAAATTATATGCCCGTGAAATTCGATGTTCCTTAAGTATAACAAGCCTAAATGCATCTATTGTATGCCCGTGAGATCCGATGTTTTTTAAGTATAACAAGCCTAAATGCATCTCAAAAGCAAAATTCGGAAGAAAACGTCATCCAAGAAATCCGAAGAAGAGTGTAACAACGACTCATTACAGAATACAGAAAACTCGAGAGAATCAAAAAACTCGAGAGAATCAACGAAAAAGACTCGAGTAAAAGAAAATCATCAAAAAACCTGAGGAAATCCCGAAAGAAAGGAAAAGTAACACGAGTGTCCTGTTTCAAAGCTACGATAAAACAAAAACAAAAAAAGTTCAGATGAGGGGGCGGCAGGCACTCGTATGTGATTAGGCTCAGCTATATATTTATTTTCGAGGGACTACGAACGCTACTCAGTCACCCGTATGTATAAAACCCACCACTCGTGTAGAAAGGTGTCTTAAACCTCACTTAAAGGGCTATTTCTCAGCCTAAAAAGGTATCCGTCAGATGGACAACCAACTTTAAAGTGTGTTTTATACTTTTTTTTTAACATGCATACAAATTTTAAACATGCAAAGAAGAGTTATCAATTTTGTTTCGTAAAAAAATATGTTTTTGCTTGAAAAGGGTTTATCAAAACTTTTATATATATTTTTTTAGAAATTTTTGTTGTCCACGAGTCGATTACACTGTCGGGCATAGGACTGTCAACTATCTGAGGAGGTTCGAGCCAACTCCCGCTAGACTTATGTCGGTGAAGGATACTGTTATCCTATTGTTCATCAAATGTCTGGATCTATGTCGTAGGATGAAATATCATTTTGCTCTACCACCAGTGTGCCTTTGTCATCACCGTCCTATGCCCCAAAACAAAACCGACCTACTTGTGACATTGTTTGATGATTTTACGTATAGCAAAAGGCTATACGCAGACACTTATGTAGCGGACATAAGCATAAAAAAAACGAACCAAGAAGCAAGGAAAAAAAAAGAACAAAAATGAGGTGAGAGTGAGGAGACACTGATCCACCTAAAACACCGAAAAGACGGAGGATGAATTAGTTCTCAAAACATGTATCGAAAAGACTTGAAAAAGTAGGGCCCAAGGTCTTTCCTAACAAACATAAAACATCCGTTCGCGCTGATTCTTCAAACCCCAATGACGTAGTATTAATCAAATCGACCAAATGTTCTTCCAAAATGAGATTTAAAATTTTCCAAACCTCGAAGGAAAATGATCGCGGGGAAACCACTGTCAATACTTCCAAACTCGTTCTAAATTCGAAATTCTTTCAATCAAAATTCACCCAACTTTCAGACTGAAAAATAGCCTTATAGTCGAATAAGCATGAAATCCTCCCACAGAACCAAATAATTACATAACCAAATAATTGTTCACGGCCGGGGTCAATAGAGTAGAAGAAATAACAGCTAAGGCTCTCGGCCAAAGCAACCCACAAAGGACCACAAGTGAGGCTCACGGCTAAGGCGAACCCGAGGCATAGGGGAAGAGGAAGCTCACGGCTGAGGCAAACCAAAACCCGAATCAAGTCCCTACAAGTTTCGATATACATAGGAGAGTGAATGCATGACTACTTACAACCTTGTTTGATGGTTTCACGTATAGCAAAAGGGTGGACACTTATGCATTAGACATAAGCATAAAAAAGAACGAACCAAGAAGCAAGAAAAGAAAAGAACAAAAATGGGTTGAGAGAGAAGAGACACTGATCCATCTAAAACATCAAAAAAGAGAATGAATTAGTTCTCAAAACTCGTACCGAAGAGACCTTGAAAAGTAGGGCCCAAGGTCTTTCGTAACAAACATAGAAGGCAAGCTCGCACTAATTTTTCCAAACCCCAAAGACATAGAATTGATCGAATCCACCAAATGCTTTTCCAAAATGAAGTTTAAAATCTCCCAAACTTCAAAAGAAAGTGACTTCGGGGAAACCACCATTGATATTTTCAAACTCATGCCGAAATCAAAATTCTCCCACTTTCGTTGTTCACGGCCAGGGTCAATAGAGTAGAAGAAATAACAGCTAAAGCTCTCGGCCAAAGCAACCCACAAAGGACCACAAGTGAGGCTCACGGCTAAGGCGAACCCGAGGCATAGGGGAAGAGGAAGCTCACGGCTGAGGCAAACCAAAGGAGCAACAAGTGAGGCTCCCGGGCAAAGGGAAAACCGACAAATTCCCTACAAGTTTTGATATACATAGGAGCGTACAAAACATCACCAATCTCTCAAAGTAACAAGTTTGATCCATCTACAATCATTCAAATGATTCAAACTCAACAAGAGGGGGTAAATTAAACTCAAGAAGCTTTAATGGGTCTTACGGGTAGGAGTAGGAACCAAAGCCAGCAAAACCACCTCTCGGGTAAGGGTCAAACAAAGCAAACCAAGCCCCCAACTAGAGCCAAACCGAGCCC